CTAGCTAAGAAGTAAATAAAGCCAGCTTTACAAGATTTAACAAAGGAAAAAAATCTCAATGCACAGGTCCTTTCTGCTGTTAAATTCCATTTGGGATTCTTTGGCAATTTGATTAAGATTTTTTAAAAAGTCCATTCATTTTGTTGGCTTGCAAAAATTGTTGCTGACCTTTGTTCTTCACCCTTTCTCCCCCACTTTCCTCCTTGTCGGCTACCATGTTCCTCACAGTGGCTTTAAACTGAGCAGCACTCTGTGTACCATAGAGTCTAGCTAGGCTGGAGTCTTCTAAAACCACGGCAACAGATACAATTCCAACATGGCCCTAATCAATGTATGAAACACTTAACAGAAATGCACTAATTACCTGTCCTTTGCTCATCATGGAGGGTAGAAATAGAAATGTTTCCTAGGAATTGTGAGTAGCAGTGCTACAAGTATAGAGATCCTTTTCTGGCTAGCTGCCAGTTAGCAAATAAAGATTACTTCCCTGCTGGCTGAATATATAAACTTATATGGACCTTACTTTGCTTATGTAATGTATCAGTGTTTATTTAGACTTATATGGAGAGGTGATACTTTCATCTTTTTTTTTTTTTTTTTTGAGACAGGTTCTCTCTATGTAGTTCAGGCTGAATTTGAACTCACTATGGAGCTCAGGCTGGCCTTGAACTCAAGTTAAACCTCCTGCCTCAGCCTCCTGAGTGCTGGGATTATAGGCCTGAGCCACTACGACTGGCTCTTAGCTTTTCAAAGTACATATAGAATCTTTAATAAATGTCTGCAATTTTCTCATTAGACAGCTTCACTAATATTTTTAAGATCCAAAGGGCTTCTTGTCTGACAGCATTTTTTCCAGTTCACCTTCATAGTTTTTAACAGTTATAGTTTTAAAAATAAATACAATTGTTTAGTTTTGCATGCTCCAAGTGTTTGGGCTAGAGATGTGATACTGTTTTCTTTTCCAACTGTGTCTGCATTCTCAGAACTTGCCACAAATATGGCATTCAAGGCTGTGCTGATTGGAGTGATGAAAACTAATGTGAATAGACTTTTCTAATCATGCCTTTGGAAAAGCTGGAAACTGTTATTGTGTTAAGACTTCTCTCAAAAAGCTGACATATCTAAATATGCACTATATTGGGTAAGAGGTAGAGGAGAACCGTAAAAAACATGAACCCAGTGTTATGGGGGGAGTAGAATCAGACTCAACCTTTAGATACCATTGGCCTATTTCTAAACCTGTTTCCATATTTTGAACTTTCAGATCAAAATAGATGTCTTTCTCTGGTTCTGATCCTGCTGGAAACTAGTTTAGTCTAGAATTAGTCTTAGAAGGAGAGGCCAGAAGGCAAAAAAATTTCAGTCAGATCACAATGACTTGCTCTTCTGGTCTGCTAGGGTCTAAATTTCTTTATTGTAGGTGGTAAGTAATGAGCTTAGAGAAGAGAGTTGCATTTGAGTCCCATCCTACCACTTAAGGGGAGGTATAACCTGAGACAACTAATTTTATCTCTTCAACATGGTTTCCTCATCCATCCAATGTGGCTGTTTTAGGGTTTTGATAACCACATAAGAAGACGTAAGACAAGAGGTAGTGCTATTCACTTGTAATAGTAGCTACAGGTATTGTAGACAATTCAGAGAGAAGATGGCAAGGTAGTTACAATGTATTGTCTGAAATTATTATTCCACTCTAATAGAAGACAAAACTATCCTTCCACAATCCCAAAGACATCAGACTTGACTATGTCCATGACTTCCTCTGACTCATGAAACTTAGTCATTAATGATACACATCAATTCCCAATTTAAGCTTGTGAGGAGACAGCTAGTTGTTTGCCACCTTTTCAGTCATGAGATTGGCAGTGTTCCAACCACAGGCGACCCACAAACATCACATGACATTTCTTGCAACTGAAATTTCTGATCATTTAACTGTAGCATAATCTTATCTATGCTGATACTGCAGAACTACAAAGAACAAACACAAAAATCCCACCCTTAACCCTAGCCACCATTACATACCCTGTTATCTAAAAACATTTTCAGAGGTTGAGGAAAGGTTTGATTAAGAGCCTAACAAGATTAACCTTTGCCAGCACCAGTAGAATAAGCAAGTTGCCCTTGGACAGGTTGAGCTGTTGTGCTTAGGTCCCTTTTCTGTAGGTCTAGCTTGAACAGCTGTTAAAAGATAAGAGTGGCAGCTCTCTTGAGCTTGTCAACTTGAAATTGCAACAACTCAACAAACTGAGAATGTCTATACTATTCAAAAGCATGGCAGAACCAGCAGCATTATCACTACAAATCAAAGTTCCCCACCCCAAGACCTTCTCCTCTGCCCTCCACTTGGTCAGTTACATGCCCAAGTGACTTTTTTTTGAGTACCAGCTTTATCCCATCTTCTCTGCCAAGAAATATGCTCAGTGGCCAATAGGGCTTGTTTCATCAAACTGGGACCTGCAATGAGTATGCAGCAGAGCCCAACCTGGCCAAAATACTGAGAAGTACATACTTGGTTTTCTAACTGCTAATTGCTGAGACTTCTGGATTCCTGTTACTATAGCACTGCACTTTAACAGAAGTGACATATAGCCTTCAAAGAAAATGATGATACAGTACAGCATAAATGTGCAAATAGTTTTCAAAGTAATTCATTCGTGGAACCGTAACTAATAGTGACTTAGATATAGCTGAATGGAACCTACCTTCAAATAGAGCTTGATTGCCATTAATATCTTAAATGAATTCTTGTTAGTACAATTTTCTTCAACTGGCTTTGATGCAGTTTGCACATAATCATTTCTAGTTGGTAGAAAATTCTTGTAACTGGACACTGGATTCTACTTGCATGCTAACATTTTTAAAAGGAGCTTTTGCCATCTAGTGTTACCACTTAAGAACAGTGTGACCCAGGGGACATTCACAGTAGCTTTTTTTTTTGGGGGGGTACTGGGGATTGAACTTGGGTCCTTGTGCTTGCAAGGCAGGCCACCAAACCGCTGAGCTAAATCCCCAGCCCAACCTTTTTTTTTCCAGTCACTTTTTAGAAAGAACCTACAAAAAAGGAATTTGGAAATTAATTACTTGTACTTTTTTGAAATTTAACCTATGGAGGTACTGATTTCTACCTCATAAACGAAGGATGAAAATGAGGTAAAACAGACTGATACAATAAACAGTGTCAAGAGAAACTGCTTACTAAACTAAAATCCAAGTGGATTAAAGATCTAAATATTAAAACAAACACTTGCTGGAACTTGCTAACTTATCTTGCTGGAAGATAAGTTTGGTAGAACTCCACATTGACACAGGAAAAGACTTTATGAACAAATCCTCAGATGCACAGGAACTAGCACAAAGAATCAACTGGGATCTCATCTTATTAAAAACTTCTGCACTGCAAGAGAAACAGATATGAGATGTGGGAAAAAATTTTTATAAGCTGCTCCTCAAAGGACTATTATCTAGAATATATTAAGAACTCAAAAAAATCAGGCCTCCCATATACAAAGACCTGATTTAAAAATGAGCATCTGAAATGAAGACATTTCTCAGATAAAATAAAAGCAGCAAATATGAAAAAATGTTCAACATCACTGGTCATTCAAGACGCAGATGAAAACAACAGAGATTCCACCTTACCCCAGAAAGAATGGCCATGAAGAAATGAAACAATAACACATTGGCAGGCTTGTGGGGAGAAAGGTACCCTTCTCCATTGTTGGTGCGAGTGCAGACTGGTACAGAGAGATTCCACCTTACCCCAGAAAGAATGGCCATGAAGAAATGAAACAATAACACGTTGGCAGGCTTGTGGGGAGAAAGGTACCCTTCTCCATTGTTGGTGCGAGTGCAGACTGGTACAGCCACTATGGAAATCAATATGGAGATACCTCAAACAAGTAGGATTAGAGATTCCATTTGACTCAACTATCCCTCTGCTGGGTTATCTTCCCAAAAGAATGAAAAGAATCATACCACAGAGATATATGCTCACCCATTTTATATAGCAGCACCATTTGTAATAGCTAAAACTTGGAAACAGCCCAAATGCCCATCAGGTGGAGACTGGATAAAGATGTGGTTTTTCTATGCATGGAGTACTACTTAGTCATAAAGAATGAGAAACTAGAGTCATTCATAGGAAAAGGATGCATACTGAGGCCATACTCTTAGGTGAAATAAGACACATGTGTAAATATCAGTTTCTCTGGTATGAAAACTAAAAGTGTAAATAAGAACCAAATTGTATAACTGATGTGAAATAGGAAGAAAAGAGCTAAAGGTGTAGGGGAAGTGGAAAGGGTAGGGGAAAGGAAATAAGGGAAATGAGAAAATATAAGAAAAGGAAAAAATGGAAATGAAGTCTTTGTAAACAGGGGAGGGTGGAGGAGGTGTAGGGAGGGCAGGGGTATGATGAAAAATGAGAACCAAGATCTGTCATGTAAAGGCACAAGATCCCAATGATGAATATAACTGTACTGTATACCTAAAAAGTACCAACAAACTCTCAATGAAAAAAAGAGAGCTTGATCACCCACAGAAATATTCTAGTTTCAGTACATTTGTACCACATGAATGAAGTCCTAAGGGCTGTTGGGGAAGTTTTTAAACATGAGAACATTAAAGCACCTTTGTTATACTACATTGTTTTTAAATCTTTAAATTCTAACAAAAGCTTTATCAGTCACATTACACACCTCAGTTTTCAATAAGCAAGTTTGCCTATTGTGCACATATCACTGTAAAAGAAATATAAAATAAAAATATATACTAGGCAAAGAATTTTATTAATCTTTGTTTCAAACTTTATTCCCAGGCTTCTTCAGCTTAACTGGCTGCAAAGAATCAATTGTATGTAAGCAAAAACTGAAAAGAGCTGCGGGGTCCAAGAGGCTTGGGCTTAAAAATATTAGAGATCTAGATTTTATCAGATCCATAAACAGAAACAATTTTAAAAAGCAGTCATAATATAAAATAGCAGCTCCCAGTAACTTGTTCCAAGTTTTATCTTCTTCAGAAGCTGACTCAATTCAGTTTGACTCATTCTTAGAAGCCTCATCAAAATTCTCCACAAGATCTAAGGGGAAAGAAAGGGAAAGTCTGAAAAGTCAAATCCATAATTATCAGATCTTAATAGCAGAGAGGAAATGCTTTCCAATTTACATACTTACTATTTCCAATGAGACCACTACCCATTTAGTACATTGAGAAATATTTTTTGGCATATAAGACAAAATAGTTATTTTGAAAATGACATAAGCACCATACTCAAAGAATATGCATACACCTTTCCATTCCCTTAAAATATAAAACTCCAAAACACTGGTTAATATGGGAAGAGGAGAATCAAACACCATGACACATCTGAGAAGTGTTCTTAGGTTCCTATAAACGCTTGTTTATGCAAAGTGGCAGTATTTATGAATCTGGTGATTCTTCTGCACAACACATATTTGTTTTTACCACAAAGTGATGTAGTAATAGTTTAAATAACTTCTCCATGGCATCCTGTAAATTCATGGATTTCAAGTAGGAAAAAAGGTCATCTGTGATCTCCAGATAGTTTTATTTAGGTCATAAATATAGAATATTCAATATTTATGGTCACACACCTATATCACCTTGGGATCTCAAACACAACCCAAGTCTAGAAATGTAATTTTTTTTACTTCGCATACTGTCATTTTTTCATTCCACGCCCCCCTTCCTTCAGGGATCAGCCTCTTTTAACCTATTAGCCCATTCCAGCAGTATTTTTCTATTAACAATTGTTGTTCTCTCTTGCTAAGAGTCTACGTTAACCACAAGCAAAGTTTTCTACCTGGAACTTCATCATCATCATCCTCTCCAGTAGCAAGTGGTGCTTTTCCATCCACAGCTGTGAGAAGGAAATTGAAATGTAACTTGCACATTTTTCTACACTTTCAATAAACACTAAAGTAACAACAGATGAAATGCCAAGTATTGTTACAACTTAAATTCATGATACAAATGACATCTGGGATTTGATTTATAAAACCATTAATAACATGATACTCTGATGTGCACAAATGACTAGAATACTAGTAATAGCTAACAAAAGAAATCCCACACCTACTCTTTTAATCCCCCTGGCCCACCACAGACTTGGATGCAGTGTGAGGCCAGTAGGGAGCTGTTAGGGATAAAACACATACCAAATTCTGGTAAGACTTATTTTGGGAGGCAAATGAAGATTTTCTTAAATAATCTTGTTTATACACAGTAAAAGCCTCAAAAAACATTTACTGAAATGAAATAAAGTGATAAGAAAACTGTAAGTGATTTGAATGGTAAGCAACCTCTTTCCTTTATCTCACAAAAAATGAGTTATGAGACTTCACAGTACCATGGCTATAGCTGGAATACTTCAAGACTACCTTCGTTCTGAAAAGTAAGATGGCATGATACCTTTTAATAGTTGTCCATGTAACAATATAAACTGAGCCAGAATGAGTCAACATCTAGAAAAATAGGGGTGACTAAATAGGAAGCCATATACTACGACTAACTTGCTTCTGCATTCCTGTTCTTCAAAATTTTAAGCAAAAAACCTCAGCATGAAGTTGTTACATCCCGATACACTATTTTTAGTTCTGAACAAAATCCCTATTGTAATTAAAAGTATCAAAAGATTATTGGCAATACTGATGATACAACTGAATAAACTGTTAACTATAGTCAATGACAACTTGTTGTATTTCAAAATAAAGATCCCAAAGGTTCCCAACATAAAAATGAGGGAAATGCTATAATATACACTTGTATATTTTAAAAATCACTTCTAATCTGTATGTAGTTATCAGCAAAGCCCAAAATTAACATTTTTATTAGTTCCAATAAAGATAAAAAATGCTTAAGTCTCTGACCCCAATTAGAAAATGTTCTATTAAATCAAGAATAACCATAACAAGCTAGACAAATTAGTATAACCACAAATATTTGCTTAAAATTAATAATGTTTAAGTTTGCTTTCTAAATTTAGGAATAGTTGTTATCAACTTAGAGCCCTATATCACAAAAATATGCTGTCAAATGAGTACATCCCAGTAAAACCAATAGGAAACTCACATTGTTTGGGCAGAGCTTCAGCCAGTCTCCTTAAACTAGTCAGACTGTCTGCACCGAGCTGGTTCAAGATACTGGGTAGCATTTCTGTCAGCTGTTTTGTCTCAGCATGGCCTGTAATGGTGAAAGTGTTTGCTGCCAGAGATGCCTGAACTTTTGGGTTGTTGAAGTGAATCACTGTTCCTTGGTTTGTAAACATATTCACCTATAAAGAAAAAAATTAAATTAGTAATTAATGCCCACCAAAGTTTCCTTTAAAACTGTTATGTTTTATTAAGCAAACACTGACATCTATCTTACTAATCTAGTATTTCACTTTGAAGTACAAGTGAAATTCTGCCTGGAAGGGAATGTGCAAATAGCTTTCAGACTAGCAATCTCTCTCATACTTGTTAACAGGGTAGAAATACAACTTAACTTTAAACCCCAGCGTGATATGACGTGTTAAAAAAGCAAAAAGCAAATACATTAAAATTTTTCTTGTTTAAAATCTTGTTTTAAAAAATATTGACTTACCTCTTCAATACCAGAGATATTGTTTACCCCTAACTTCTTTAATGAGAATTGAAGTTTTTTATCATCTGCTGTAGCTGTTCTATGAACCACCTTCTTCTTCCTGCGAGCAGTCCCCTAATGTGAGAAGGAAAGGACAAGAGGCATACTTAGGGCATAGCAAGTATTTTCAAAATAGGAAGAGTTCCTAATTTTTCTGATCTTTGGTTCTGTGTAAGAAAATTATCATCACCACAAACTATGTAACTGAGTAGGTAGACTAAGGTAAAGATGGACACTAAAATGGGAAGGAAAGGACTATATAAAAATCCTTAATAATTTCTAGTTTTGCCAGATGTTTTAAAAAGTGATCAAAGAGATGGGATGTGTCAGCCTAACTTAAACTTCATTAAGAAAAGTTCCATATCTAGAACTAACCTTTTGTTTTACACTAAAGACCAACATCCAAAATATTTACAGGCAAGACAGAATATGAAACAAACCAATGAAATTGTATAGACTTACAAACCACTAAGAGTAAAAACCTGAATTTCTTATCTTAACCTACAAGGTACCTAACATGGTCTACCCTGCCCCTAATATGATGCTCTTGACCATATCTCTTCAACCAAATAAACATCTGCTATATCTTAAACAGGCTGATCACCAATGTAAAATAGCAAGTTTCTCATCATCTATCCCTGTTTTACTTTCATAAAACTTATTACCTTAAGACAAATACATTTTATCTATCTCCACTCATTGCAGTGAACTCTCTGAGGGCTTCTACTTTGTTTACTATAAATGCAGTATCTAGCTTGTTGAAGACAAGCAAAGTCACAACCCAAGTACAGCACCATTCTAACCTCTATTCCAATTCTTCTTTCACTTTTTTTGGAGACAGGGTCTTGTTTTGTAGTGTAGGCTGGCTTCAAACTCACAGCAATCCTCCTGCCTCCACCTCCCATGTGCCACCAAGCCCAGTTCTTACTCACTTTTAAAATCTTGTTTAAGCCATTACTTCACTAACTCTATAACCCTATGTATGCCAAATCACTCCTATCTCTGTATCTCTGTCTCCCCCAAAGTTTGAACAATCACACTGAAGTGGTCACGTAGACACCTGGCTTCCAAAGACTCTTAAGAATCTAAAAACAAAACCAGCATACCTCCTGCAGGTTCCACATATTTCACAAATGGAGAATTCGATTTACTTAATGAAGTTGATGACCTTAGTAATGTGCACAGAAGCACTTTACTCCTGCAACTGCACTGAATTGATGGTTAAAAAGTCAATACAGAGAATCCAACAATGTCACAAGAATACAATGAGTTTTTCTGGCACCTGAAGGCTACACCCTGTAATTGTTAAAAAGGTCAAGAAATACCTAATGTTGTTAAATAATCTTATTATTTAATCTAGGTTAAACTTTCTATCTCACAGTAGGCTCTACTTGAAGGTAAATGCTTAAAGCTGGGAAATTTTAACAGGTAATAAATTTGTACTATGGAAGCTTCTTCACAAGTTCTACCAGGTGAAGACATGCTCTGATTCAACAAGCTGCCTGCCACACCTTGTTAAATAGTAGGAATGTGCTAATACAAAACACAACTAAATTGCTTTTAGAGAACAATCTATAAACCAAGTTCAAAAAAGAATATCCTTGAAGATATACCCCCAAAGAATACCTACCTGAAAAAACCAAGTAACCAAAAACTAATGTAAAATTCAGTGAGCTTAATTTCCTTAGTTTTAGCACACTAACTCAGAACAGAAAAATATCTGCTTAAGTAGTATTTTCAAATCTAACATCACTGTTCTTGAACTCCAAAATATAAGTATATAGAATCTATCTTCAAATATCCTTAAAAAGACACTATAGCCACGTATGGTGGTGCATACCTATAATCCCAGCACAGTGGGAAGTTGGGGGGGGCTGAGGCTGTAGCTGTAGTACGGGCGGGGGGGGGCAGCTCTGCAGTTAGTTGAGTGCTTACCTACCATGTGCTAGAACTTAGGTTCAAGACCAACCAAGGCAAAAACACACCGACTCTGCACAACTTGAGCTAAAACAAGTGAAGGTCATGGTGTACTGCACGACCTTATCTAACTTAAATGACACATTTTTCTTATTAATAAAACTGGGCAACATTTTTGCTCTGCTTATACATTGTAACACTGAAAACTTGTTTGCTTACACAAAATTAATGTTTCATGTGTCCTTTTCTTCTTGATTCACTTGCTTTTCCTCTTTTAATATATAACTGATAGTTCTCATTCATCTGTATCCGTCTAATCTCTGCTTCCTCCACTCCCTGAATGTGCTGGCTTTGCTAATTTTCGCCCAAAGGCAAAGTGACAAGCCAACCATGTTAGTAGTACTAGAGAAACTTTAAAGAGAGAAACTAAAACTTACTTTTCCACCAATGCGCACTTGTGCCTGCAGTTTGGCGAGTTTTTCCTGGTTCATGATAGTTTCTTTCATCTAGAAAGAGAAGAAATCTTCAGCAAAGAAAGACTGGAACACTCCAGCAATACACGCCTGTTATTTCCCAAGGCACGAGAAGAATAAACGTCCTACACAGGCGAGGCCTGGACACCAAATCCACCCCGTAAAGCTCCCAATTTCGGCTCCGTCGGAGCCCCAAAGCACTCACCTCCCTCCCCGCTCCTGCAGCTCCCTCCCGCCTTTACCCGGCCAGCACAGGACTCTGCCCCTCGCCTGGGCAGCACCCCCAGGCCCGGCCCCGG